ACTTACGGTCACTACCGCTCACTTGACTCAATTATCTGTCTCTATTGTTTAAACACAGAATGGGTAATACGAACCCCTCGAACTTCATCTGCATGTATCAATGCTCTGGGTTTTAAAACTACTGGTATGTGATATTTCGCCTACCTCTCGAAGTAGTTTGGCAAAGTGTGTGAAAGTGCCAGTGAGTTTTACATTTTAGTGATATTTCGCCAACAATCACGAATATTAAAGTTATTGAACTATCTAAAATGACTTTGTTTTAAGAATCGGAGACTTTGGCTATTAAAAACTCATTTAAAATAAAATGCAGTGGGGTACTATTGTGATATTTTTACAATGTAACAATAATGAATATAGTACATTTAAAAAGTACTCGTTATATTTTTCAAAACAAGGGTAGCTGATGAACTGATGCTCCCTACTTAATTATACTGCTAGCTTCTCTAACAGGAAACTGTGCAGGGAGATGCTCTAAAGGATTGATCACTTTGCGTGGCATAAAATTCAATGTAAATGAAGCTCTCGTTTGATTATTAACCTTTAGGAGAAAAGTAATATGTATGTTGAACCTTTAAAATGCCAAGTAAATAAACTTCAAAATTTTTAGTTCAGAACCTGTAAGAATTGCAGAAAGAAAGAGCAGCAAGGCTAAAAGCTGATAGTTAGGAAAACGTATAAGAGGAGAAATAAATTGCAGGCAGAAAGAAGTAAGGTTAGACGCTGAAAAAATTAGAAGAGATGAAATACGTGCACAAAAGTATGATGACTTGAAGAAATGAGAGAGGCAGAAGTTTGAGAGAAACTGAATGGGAAAGAGAGGGAAGAAGGCAAGGATTGCATTTAGCAGCTCATCACTATTGTTACGACAGCAGAAGTCACGTGACGCTGGTAACACGTGATGAGTTTCTAGAAGGATCGTGAAGAATCGAGTGTTTGCCAGACGCCCTCTATTTTTTGTATTTATAAGCTCGGCAAATAAAGCGGAGGGGAGAATTGACGGCATATATAAAAGCAGATTGAAGAGAGATAGCACATCTATAGAGCATCCACCCCTAAAGTGAAGGTGTATAATGTACCAAAAAAGACTCTTCGTATAACACTATAATTCACTGGTAAATACATCTTGAAAAAAAATAAGACTCAATATCTTATTGTACAGTATTAATCAGCAAGTAAAATCTCGAGTGATTCTTAACTTTTAAGGTTCAAGTTAAATCTTTCATTAGAACGAGGAACTATTTTGCCTTGATCATGATTATATTTTAAACATAAACCTGAAAACACCACAGTAAAGTTAGCCGCACATTAAGCCTCACATATTTGATCATTAGCAAAATTAACCTAGAAAAGTGGTTCTGTCACAATAAAGTTTCCTGAACATTAGCAATCGATGTGTGTTCGAAGAAAAACGAAGTTTGATTATAAACAAGATTACGACACTTATGATATACAACATTGTT